CTTTCGCTCAGGGAGCCCGTTCCCTGCAACGCACCGAGACACGCTGGGGAATACAGGGGCGAAGGGCAGCGTCGCGCTCCCGCTCGCACCCACCCTGAGCCTGGGGTCCCTGGAGCGTCCACCCTCGCCTGCCCCATCACTGCCTTGGGATCTGCTCCAGGGATGAGGACGGTGTCTGCTCTTGGTGGTCAAAAGCAAAAAGCATCCGCGAACCTGCTGTGGGAAGAGCTAATGGTTTGCCAGCCGCTGGTCTCTACGGGCAGCATCTCCGTGGGCTTCTCTTTCCAGTGGTGCCCAGTGACAGGACAAGGGGCAACGGGCACAAACTGAAGCAGAGGAAGTTCCAGATGAACATGAGGAAGAATTTCTTCCCTTTGAGGGCGATGGAGCCCTGGCCCAGGCTGCCCAGGGAGGCTGTGGAGTCTCCTTCTCTGGAGATATTCAAGACCCGCCTGGACAAGGTCCTCTGCAGCCTGCTGTAGGCGACCCTGCTTCAGCAGGGGTTGGACTGGGTGACCCACAGAGGTCCCTTCCAACTCTGAACATTCTGTGATTCTGAGCACGCTCAAGCACTGGCACCTCCAGGCTTGCGCAGCTGGAAACATCTCGACCTTAACAGTGAGCAGATGCCACGGCAGTGAGAGGATCAGCGTGGAGGTCCACCCTGCTCCCCAAATGCTCTGCAGGGCGCCCAAGCAGCCCCAGCCTGCTCAGCTCAGGGGGGACAGGGAGATGCCACCACAGGGAGGAGAGACAGAGCAAGAGGTCCTGGAGTTGGGGCTTATCTTCCCCGTTTGGGCAAGGAGCTCCTTCTACCCTTTGTGCTTAGGAATGGCTTTTTGTCACCCACCTGCCTGTTGGGTGTCTGTGACCTGCCCTCGCTGGGTGACCGGGACTCGCACCGCCGCTCCAGCGACTCATCGTGCGCCTGAGGACTCCTCTCCTCCGAGTTGCAGCGGGAGATGTCAGGGGACAGCAAGTGCTTGCGCTCTTTGGATCGGCCCCTCTCCCTGCCGCCCGAGCGATGCCCGTCGGACCGGTGGCCTGCAGGGCA